AGTTCTGGGGGGGGCAGACTGCCCAGCCAACCTCCGACATGCCCGGTGCCCCTCCTCCTGGTCTTTGTCTAACTTCCTGCACAAAGTGTCATCTAGTCGCATTCCCCTCCTGGGTCTCAGGTTACGAATGGCACCATCCATCGCTTATGTGCAGGTAGCTGGAGCTGCCTCACCTGGCCCAGAGGGTCTCAGCAAAAGTCACATACCCTGAGTCCCACGACCTAGGCATTGGAGCAATACACAGGGAAACTGAAGCACACAGTAGCTTAGTCTGGAAAGTAGGCCAACCGTTGATTGCCTCCACCTTGCTGGTTCTGACTTTAGGCAGCCGCTCCCCACCTTGTGGCTCAGGTACGACATCCCTGCCATCCCCACCTTACGCTTCCCAGGCATTATTGTCTATCCTGCATCCTGGAGGTGACCCAGCACCCTCTGCACCTGAGACACATCGTCCTCTCAGATCTGGCTAAAGAAACAGATATCATCAATGTACGTTAGGGCAAAGTCCTCCACCCCTCTCAGTAACTGATCCACCAGGCCCTGGGGTGTTGCAAGGGCCCTCTTCAGGCTGAGAGGTAGGACCAGGAACCCAGGTGATGGGAGCAGATTCCAACCCAGCATCTGGGTCCAAAGGGTCCCCAGTAGTCCTTGGGGAGATCCCTGGTAATGTTTCCCCCCCAACACTTGTTTAGGATCTTGTCAGGCCTAGGCATTGGGCAATCTATGCAGCGTCTGATCGATCCATCCTCCCTGGGGACCAGCACGACTGGCTATGCGCAGGGGCTGGAGGCTGGTTGGATCACCCCTAAAGTCAGCATGTCTCTGATCTCTCTCGCCAGGTCCTGGGCTAGTTTCCCAGTGACTGTGAGCCAGGAACACCACCCCTTTCCCGGTGGACAGTTAGCTTAGGGCACCCAGGCCTGCTGGGGAGCAGCTCCTGCTAGGGACACAGCCCCTCTGCTCTCTGCTGGCCGACAGGAGTTAGCTGGTCAGAAAGGGTAATTGATTCCAGCAGGAGGCCCTCTCCTGTCTCAGGGAAGACATCCACCAGTGCATTTCCCCCATCTTCTCTCCCTGCACATACACGTCTCCTTGTCAAAGGGTACGTCTTCACTACCCGCCGTATCGGCGGGTAGCAATCGATTTATCCGGGATCGATATATCGCGTCTCATTAAGACGCGATATATCGATCCCCGAATGTGCTCACTGTCGACTCTGGAACTCCACCAGAGCGAGCGGTGGTAGCGCAGTCGATGGGGGAGCCGCGGCCGTCGATCCCGTGCTGTCTGGACCCCAGGTAATTCGATCCAAGATACTTCGACTTCAGCTACAACTTGAAAGGGTGGACCCCAATGAATTTCTGGGGCAATGACCATGATGCAGCCCCCTCGCCTGGTGCGCTGGCTCCCCTGATGTTTGGAGAGCTGGACTTCTGAGGAACCACCAGCTGCCCCTGATTCCACAAGGTTCGGTTTTCCCAGTACTGGGTCTCTTTTCTTACAGTGATCTTTCTCTGCAGTGCTTCTCCGGCATCTTGCAAACACTGGGGCTTCCAAGAGCCCTCAGCTTCTGCAAGGAGGGATCCTTCCACTGCTCAGTCTGGTGTTTAGCCACAAAGTCTCTTTGGATATGGCCTTCCTGGTCTCACCTCGAAGCCTTCAGCATCCCTGTTCTCACCATGCACTTCCCGCAGCGGGTCCACCTGGATGGGACCCCTGAGGAAGCCAGAGGACTCTGCACCCCAATTCCACAATCAGCAGTGAATCTCAGCCAGCGTGTAAAACAGAAGGGTTTATTAGTTGACAGGAACACAGAGTAAAGCAGAGTTTGTTAGCACAGAAATCAGGAACGTTCAGCAAAGTCCATCTTGGGGGGACCGAGGGCATGAAGCCCCTTGACTCCCTCTTCCGGGTCCCAAATAGTCGACTGCCCCTTCCAGCTGCCTGACATCCGACACACCCATTGCCCTCCTCCCGGTTTTTGTCTTGCTTCCCAGGCAAAGTATCACCTAGTTGCCTTCCCCTCCTGGTTCTCAGGTAATGAAGGGCACTGTCCATCGCTTACATGCAGGCAGCTGGGTAACCTCACCTCCCCACACCCCCAAGGGTCTCAGCAAAAGTCACACAACTTTTTTCCCACCACTTAGACATTGCTGCAACAGACATGGAAACATACAAAATAATAAGACTCACTGTGATGAAGTTGGGAATTTTTATAGTGCCCACCCCAGGTTGGCAATCAGCTGTTCCTGGCCAGTGGTAAGGCAAAGGGCTGTGGAGAGACGACCCTGGTGACGTGATCAACCAGTT